TTTTGTCATTCATTTTAACTCTATAAACCCATTTTGAATCAATAAGTCTCATATCTGGGGTTTGTGGTACAAGTGACCAAGTGTTATGCTCTTTTAAAGAAGCTATTTCAGAGTTAATAGCTTTATACCAATTTACAGCTTGGTGTTTAGGTAAATTCTGAACATCATTGTAGCTTTTTGGCTCAAAAACCGCCTTATTGGCATACACAGTATTAAAATGTTCATCTGCAAAACCTTGTGGCTTCTGTCTCTTTCTATCTGAACGTCTCAGTCCGGAAGGAGAGCCAGACTCCTCAGACTTAATGGGACTAAGTGAACTACTAGTTTCAGGTTGTAAATCACCATTGTCAGACTGAAGAGATTGGCTAAGCTCACGGTCAGAAAACTCAAGAGAATCTAACCTTCCCTCGGGTGGCTGTGACTTTAAATCATCAAACAAATTATCAGATTCAACAGGCTTTTCGTCTTTTTCCATTAATTCAAAAGCACCATTTCCTGCTGCTCCTGCTGCTGCTTCTTCCTCTTCTTCCTCAGTATTATCTATACCATTAGTATCTTGGAAAACAGCAACTCCATTCCAATTTACAGTTTGTATCATGCTTCTGGTAATATGAAATTTGCCAGTTTCTGGTATGTAAATTCTGTATGCCCCCTGCTGGTAGCCCATTAATTTTCCCTGAACACTACGCTCACCCAATTTCTGCTTAGCAGGATAATGCATAATTACATCTGAACCCCAAATACATAGGTATTTCAGATTAGGGCGTTTTTTAAACAACTTCTCATAGAGGGTGACATCTAAACCAGAATGATAACTGCGATTTCTAACATAACAAAATGCATGGAGTGCTTCAGCCCAAAATGCTTTGGGCAGATTAGCATCGTGCAGATAAGTTTTAACCCCTGTCTGCAGGTCACGCTGCACAACTTCAACAAGCCCATTTTGCCAGGGACTTCGGGGACAAGTTAACTCATGAGTAGTCCCCTGCGCTTCCAGGAAATTCTCAAAATCCTCAGAAACAAATTCCCCTCCCCGGTCAGAAAACAGGTTCTTAATAGGTTTGTTAAAGTGCGTTTTTACCCAGTTACAAAAAACTTTGTACTTCTCAAATGCTTGTGACTTCTCAGCTATTGCATAAGTCCAACAATATCTACTATACTGGTCTATGAGGGTGAGCCAGTACTTAGAACCTCCTAATGATGGTGGGAGTGGCCCAACCAAATCACAGTGTACACGCTCAAATGGCTCAGTTACTTTCCTATCTGAGCACCTACCCTTGAGTGCAACCTTAATCTTATTCTTGCAACAGGATAGACATTGCATAAAGAATTTGCATGCTTTTAAGTTGAGGCCATTAACAATATTCTTGGTCTTAATTACATCAGCAAAATTCAGATGTCCCAGAATTCTGTGCGCCTCATGGACACACCCAGAATGTGGCCTTACATTCCTCAACCCCTGGCTTGACTGTGCTGCTCTGCAATTTATAGGCGATTGGGAGTAGGTGCGAAAATACAGTCTATATAAACCATCAGATTCCCGGGCATACAATAGACGTTTGTTCCCCTCAAAAAACTCACACATTGACTTTAAGAAACGCACAGTTATGCCTTGACGAGCAAAGCACCTTACTGACAATAAATTGTCCACTGACGGGCAGTAAATGCAGTTCGCTATAGTAATGTTTAAAGAGTCAAGTTTAACAGTACCCCTGCCAAGCGACTGCAAGACTTGTGAATTGGCTAAATGTACATTACCAATTTCCTCTTCGAAAGAAATAAACAAGCTTCGATCATTGCAAACGTGCCGAGATGCTCCTGAGTCCACAATAAAAGAATTCCACTTGGCACCCTTAATTCTTTTACCATCTCTTGTGCTAGCGTGAAAAGCTCGCGGCTCGTTTCTGTCTTTACGGTACGATGTCGGCTGCTGGGCTGACGACCGTGATTGACGAACAGAAACAGACTTGGGAGTACTTTGCTTTCTTTTGGATCTGCAGTCCTTTGCAAAATGTCCCTGCTTACTGCAGAACCAACAATGCTTTGCAGCTTTAAATGCAGTTGTATTACCACAAGTTTGCATATGGCGTTCCTCATTCTTTCTGGAAATAGGAGTGCTTATGGCACAAGCCTCCCTTCTGTCCAGCTCGCCCATTAATCTTGCCATTACCCCTTCCACAGTTAATTGTGCTGGTGGAATGGCAGATATCTGGCTAGCTATACCATCAAAGTCCTCATTAAGGGAACATAGAATGATAAAAACATACTGAATATCAGGTATCTCCATGTCCCTTCGAATTAATTTGCAGCGTATCGCCTCCAGACGTCTCAAGTGTGCTGCCAAATCACCACCAGGCTGCAACTTCGTCTGGTACAACTGCTTGAAAAACATCAATGCAGACGCTGACTCTTTTCTAACATGCACTGCTGCAAGACTGTCCCACATTTCTTTGGCAGTTTTCTTATTCCTTATATAGACTACTTGCTGGTCGCTGACTGCCAAATTAATTATTGCCCTGGCTTTTGCATCTCCTTTCGACCAAGCATTAGTCACAGGGTCAGGAGGGTCATCAGTTACATAGGTCCATACTTCTCTAGAGGTCAAAAGCGCCTCCACCCGAAAAGACCATAAACTATAGTTCTTATCTGTCAGCTGTGGGAAGACCAGAGCCTTCTCAGCTTCAGGAACCCGGTCAACCATTCTGGAACTCTTCCAGACCCACAAAAATTACGCTAACAGGAGAAGGAGTTTTCAAACCTTTCTCAGAGTCCAAAAATATGCAGTCATCCACTCAGCAGCTGGGCCGATAACCAAAGATGTTGGGTATTTGCAGTGTGGTAGCGCTGCAGAGAGCTTGCTGGGGAGACCATGCATTAAAAAGGGACTCAAAAATAACTTAAACAAGGTTTTAATTACAAAAACAAAAACTCCTTTTACACTAAATACATTAACAAACAAACATGACCCAACCACCAACCCACCCCCAGGGTAATGGGAGAGCTAGGTGCTGCTCCTTATATACTACACCCAATTGCCAACACAGCTTAATCAATACAACTCAGCAGCACCTGCTATGTTTCACAGCTGTAAAGCCGGGTCTCATTATCTTGCTCTGGCCCTTGCTCTGGCCCCTTAAAGACATACACATCAGGTGGAACAATGTTGAACCTTTACATTTAAAGTAACCATTCAACAACCCCACCCTTCTGGGTTTAACAACCGGGCATGGGGCCACTAACATCAAATATAAAACATGTGACTTAAAAACTGCATAAAACAGCATAAAGCTGGAAAAGCACTGGGTGAATATGCTCCCATGGCAGAGACCCCGTGAGGAGCCTCGCTGCAGCATTCTGCACTCACTGGAGTTTCTGGGACAGTTTCAAGGGCAGCCCCACGTACAGCGAATTACAGTAGTCAAGCCTGGAGGTGACCGTCACATGGATCTCTCATACACACACACACACACACACACACACACACACACAATGGTGGCGCTGTGGTCTAAACCACAGAGACTAGGACTTGCCGATCAGAAGGGCAGCGGTTCGAATCCCTGTGACGGGGTGAGCTCCCATTGCTCGGTCCCTGCTCCTGCCAACCTAGCAGTTCGAAAGCATGTCAAAGTGCAAGTAGATAAATAGGTACCACTCCAGCGGGAAGGTAAACGGCATTTTCGTGTGCTGCTCTGGTTCTCCAGAAGCGGCTTAGTCATGCTGGCCACATGACCCGGAAGCCCTCCCCAGTTGTTTGTCCCCACATTCTGATATTCGGAGGTAGATTGTTTCTGAACATGGAGGCTCCACTTAATTTTCCATTGCTCATAGGCACACACGGTCTTAAATTCTTCCACAAGGCAGGCTAACCCTTGCTTGCCAACTCTGGCAGTCTAATAATACTGATTCCAAGATGCAGGCTGTAACTGGGTCAGTAAAATGGCACATAAGCCAAGGAGCCAGAGGAGGGCAAGGGCCTTTGGGAAGAGAGAGAGAGGATCTGAAGAGAGCTGATTTAATGCTCTCTGAGAAACGCAGGCGGGCAAAAGGCCTCTTCTCAACGGTGCTGCAGTAATGTCCGCAGCTGCAACCTCAAGGCCGATGTGAGTGGGTGTAAATGGAAAGAAGGATGCAAAATGGCCTGCCAAATGGTGCCACTTTGCAGTTTGCAGAAAAGGGTAGACTTTTAAACACCCACCAGGGTTTACGCACGTGTCCTTTTCCTCTGCTCTTTCCAGGCATGGTCTACACCAGGGACGTCCAACTCCCAAGAGACTGTGATCTACTCACAGAATAAAAACCTGGCAGTGATCTACACCTTTTTTTGGGGGGGGGGTGTTTCAGGGCAAAGTTGCTGAGCATTTTTTAACAAGAAAGGTCCAGTGATGCAGAGGAAAATGTCAAAAGCCGCTCACTAAAAGATCGCTAGGGAAACAATCTGCCTCACAACGGAAACGCCGTCTTCCGTTCCAGCAATCATGCGAAAATAGAGGGCATGCTGAGGCCAGATGCTCTTATTCCACCGCAAATGAAAAGGAGTCTGTGATCGACCAGGATCGACCATAACCTCCCGGGGATCAACTAGTCAATCGCGATTGACCTGTTGGACACCCCTGGTCTACGCGTTAAAGCTCTGTGTCCAAGGACCCCCCCTTTTTATTTCTGCTCTGGTGCTTTCCCACAAAAACCCGCTCTTTAAAGCTCAGTCAGAGCAAACAGAAATCCACAGAACACCTGAATTGACGTTTGCTCCAATTCAGCTTTAAAGAGCAGGTTTTTGTGGGGAACACTCAGAGCAAAGAAACCCAAAACGTTCAGATATGGAGCATTAAATCTCACACCTCTGGCTTGAAAGAGATGCCCAAAAGTTAAGTGTGCACAGAAGGAACATAGGAAGCTTCCTTACATTGAGTCAGACCCTTTTGGCTTTCTATGTCAGCATTGTCTACACTGACTGGTAGAAGCTCTCCAAGATTTCAGGCAGGAGTCTCTCCCATCCCTACTGGAGACGCCGGGGATTGAACCTGAGGCCTTCAGCTTGTAAGGCAGACTCTCTACCGCTGAGCTACAGAGAATCCTCAAAGGCTATGCAGGCATTGTGCTTTCCTTCTGGTACCAGCACCAGTCGCCTGCTAGGCACCATGCAGAATGCCCAACCAGGACCTGCTCCCTATTCAGAGGACCTAAAAATCGACAAAGAGCTAGCAGAGAGACCCTCCAGATCATCTAGTCCAGGAGTGGGGAAGCTTTGGCACCCCAAACGCTGCTGAAGAATCCCCACCAGCCCCAGCAAGAATGGCCAAGGGCCGATGCGTCGTTCAACAACATCTTTGAGGCCAAAGGCTGCCCACAGCTGCCTAGCTGGATGCACTGGCACCAGACACGGCGTCTTACGCTACTGCAATCTGCACTGAACCTCTGAGTCCACATTCTCAAGGGACTAATTCGGTTGTGTAAACCGGACCTTGGCTGAGTCAATCCTAGTAGAGAAGGGATGCCAAGGACCCAAGGGTCTTCTTCTCCCTCCCTGCCAGAGTGTCCACTTCCCTCATATCCTTGGGAACACGCATACTTAGTGGGAGGGGAGGCGTGTGGATACGAGCCGCAGATGGTCTGTAGCACCAGAGCACAATGTCTGTTTTGGCACACAGAGCTTATGTTGCTATTGCACAGGCCGTGTGCTTTTTCTGTGCAGCTAGTGGCAGGACACGCTCATATTCAGTGATTGGGACGGGGAGCAAAGAGGAATCTTCACCTGAGAAGCACCTTCGCCTATGGATTCAATCGCTGTGAGCATAAATGCATCACAGACTGGAAAGCTCTTTGCACAATGGAAGTACAGTGGTACCTCGAGTTACATAAGCTTCAGGTTACATACACTTCAGGTTAAAGACTCCACTAACCCAGAAATAGTGCTTCAGGTTAAGAACTTTGCTTCAGGATAAGAACAGAAATCATGCTCCGGCGGCGCGGTGGCAGCAGGAGGCCCCATTAGCTAAAGTGGTGCTTCAGGTTAAGAAAAGTTTCAGGTTAAGAACGGACCTCTGGAACGAATTAAGTACTTAACCCGAGGTACCACTGTATTGCAGAACGGAGAGATACGGTAGCCTAATTTAAGAGGTACAGATGGGTAACGGAGACCAGCCTTCTTCATTCTGGTGCTCTCGAGGTGTTTTTGACTATGACTCCCATTAGCCTCACCCACCTGTTCCCCGCCCCAGCAATCAGTTAGTTAAGGGCTGCTCCCTTTCCTAGGGAGCAGAGGTTCAGTGTGTTAAGCAGATGCAAGACAGGCAGGTGTCAATCAACAGCTGATGCACGACCTGTTGCAGCCCCCTCCATGCCAGGAAAAACTCCACCTGCTGATTCCTGGTCCTCTGCTGCTGCTAAAGGAACAGAGCCCCCAGCCCTAAAGAAGAGCCAATCTTGGGACTCCCTGCACAGCAGTCAGAGTGTGTGGATGTGCTCCGTGCCGGAAGGTACCCCATGCATGCTCAGATGCACTCTTTCCTTTTTTTACCTGCTGCTCAGCACATCAAACAGAGTTCCAGTTCGGCTGAAACAAGCAGGAAATCCACAGGAGGTGGAGGGAGTGGGGAAGCCACCATCCTCCTGACACTTGCTCCTCTCCCAGCACATCTGCACAGTGGGAACCTGCAAGCATCATGCTGCGGTCCAGCACACTCCCTGCTGCATCCTTGGGGGAGATCTGCTAGAGCCTGGATGAGATTAGAGTTTCCCCAGGGCTGCAGTCAGCAAGGGGGAGACTGAGCTTTGAGAAGGCCTCTGCCACTTCTCTGTGTAGCAGATCCAAACTAGAAGCACGCAAACAAACATACACACACACCCCAGCCATGTCCTGCCCCCTCCCTCTCCCTGTGAGGCGGGCAAGATGGCAGCTGCCTTGTAGGAAATTAAAAATGCATGACTTGGAATTTCTGCAAGCAGCGCTTGGGCTGCAAAGCGAGTCTTGGCGGTGGCAGCAACAGCACAGGAGGGAAGATTAGACAAGAGGATGCCATGTAGAAGGGCAGCAGAGTGGCAGCCAAGGGAAAGGGGGCAAGAGGCGACGGGGGAAGCCCCTGGTGAAATGGGGCAGTTCCCAAAGCAACACAAGGAGCCTCTTTCTCTTCTCCTCGTAGGCGAGTAAGATTGTCTTCCATAAACACGGTTTGAACAATGAGTCCCTAAGTGACTGTGGAGGCCAATTCTGGATCTACACATCCTTCCACAGTGGGGACATTGGTTTCCGGGCGGGAGTTGATCCCGGTGAGGGTTTGCCAAGCATTCCTTCCTCTTAGCATGTTTCTCCCTTGTGTCCTGAGTTCGAGTGTCTTCAAAGCCCACAACACCTTTGGTAAAGGCTGTTCTCCAACTGGAGCGCTCGCAGGCCAGTGCTTCCCAGTTGTCAGTGTTCATACTACATTTTTTAAAATTTGCCTTGAGAGAGTCTTTAAACCTCCATTGTTGACCACCAGCATAACGCTTTCCATTTTTAAGTTCAGAATAGAGTAGTTGCTTTGAAAGACGATCATCAGGCATCCACACAACACGACCAGTCCAACGAAGATGATGTTGAAGAATCAGAAGAGAGCAGTCAAATCATCAAGTCAGTAGCAATCATCTCCATGCTTATAGAAGCCCAGGTTCAGAAGGTGGCATGAAGGTGCTCCACCACATTTACTGGACACATTTGAAAGCTGCTCTGTAGACTAAGCCCAGCTCTTCTCACAGAATGTAGAATTGTTGAGTTGGAAGGGACACCAAGGGTCATCTAGGTCCAGCCCCCTGTCATGCAGGAACCTCAATGAAAGCATCTGTGACAGATGGCCATCCCACCTCTGCTTAAAAACCTCCAAGGAAGGAGAGTTCACAACCTCCCCAGGGAGACCGTTCCACTGTCAAACAGCTATTACTGTCAGAAAGTTCTTGCTAAGGTTGAGTTCGAATTTCCCTTCTTGTCATTTGCAACCACGGGCTCGGGTCCTCTTCTCCAGAGCAACAGCAAACAAGCTTGCTCCATCTCGCTCCTTCTCCTCACCCCCGTCTGCCGCTTTTAGCTGAAAAGACAGCTTCTCAGAAAGCCAAGACATTTCGAAAGAAACCAAAGGCAATTCCAGCCCTGGGGGAACCAGCAACCTTCCCACAATGCAAACCTCAGTTTGCATCGGCCCTAGGAAGAAGCTGAGTTGTTGGAGCATCAACCTGCCAAGCGAGAAACAGAGTCCTCCTCTGAGATGGTGCTTCCTTCCCACATGGAGATGACCACGTTCTGGGCACAAGAGAGACAGTGGTCCAGAGGGGGAACAGTAGAGCCCAAGAGTTGCAGCCAGAATCTCTCCCGAAATGCCCACTTATAAAACACTCAGACTGTGCATGGAGGGGTAGGACACCAAGAAGGCCGACATGTCCCGCTGTACAGTCCTCCATTTGGAGGGCTGGCAATGACCTCTTTAGGCGTGTCCTCTATCTGAAGCGCTCTCTAGCCCAGTGGGAAGACCAAGACCCATAAGACAGGTGAGCAGGAGGCCCTTGGAACTGCCCATTGACCGGGCAACAGGCTCAGCAAGCACCTGGTCACGGTCTTCCCCAGCACAGTGAGAGGTGTCACAATTCTATTTAGACTACAGCAATTCTTTCTTTTTTTAAAAAAATGCATTATTGGCTACTGACAGCAGCTCTCTGGGGCTCCAGATGGGGTCTTTCCTAGCCTTGCCTGGAAATGTATTTATTTATTTCAATGATCCTGCTTAATCACAGTCATCTCGAAATAATGTACAAAAGAGTCAGGTAAAGGGACCCCTGACCATTAGGTCCAGTCGTGACCGACTCTGGGGTTGCGGCGCTCATCTCGCTTTAGTGGCCGAGGGAGCCTGCGTGTGGCTTCCAGGTCATGTGGCCAGCAGGACTAAGCCGCTTCTGGCGAACCAGAGCAGCGCACGGAAACGCCATTTACCTTCCCACCGGAGCAGTACCTATTTATCACAAAGGAAGCAGGAAATGGACAGGCAGCAGCTCGGCAGTTCGAATCCCCACGACGGGGTGAGCTCCCATTGCTCTGTCCCAGCTCCTGCCAACCTAGCAGTTTGGAAGCACACCAGTGCAAATAGATAAATAGGTACTGCTGCAGCAGGAAGGTAAACAGTGTTTCCATGCGCTCTGGTTTCTGCCACAGTGTTCCATTGTGCCAGAAGCGGTTTAGTCCTGCTGGCCACATGACCTGGAAAGCTGTCTGCGGACAAACGCCATCTCCCTTAGCCTGAAGTGAGCTGAGCGCTGCAACTCCATATTCGCCTTTGACTGGACTTAACCGTCCAGGGGTCCTTTACGATATGATAGGATAGGATAGGATAGGATAGGATAGGATAGGATAGGATAGGATACGATACGATGATACGATACGATACGATACGATGATACGATAATCTTTATTGTCATTGTCCCATACAGAACAATGAGAAAAAAATCTACATCAGACATTCAAAAACCAACAAGCCTTCTATCCCAGCTATCCTAGCCTTGTTAACCCCTAAAAACTCTGAGACCCCATAATTAAATACAATATACTCCCACAGAGGGATGCGGGTGGCGTTGTGGGTTAAACCACAGAGCCTAGGGCTTGCCGATCAGAAGGTCGGTGGTTCAAATCCCCGCGACGGGGTGAGCTCCCATTGCTCGGTCCCTGCTCCTGCCAACCTAGCAGTTCGAAAGCATGTCAAAGTGCAAGTAGGTAAATAGGTACCGCTCCGGTGGGAAGGTGAATGGCGTTTCCATGTGCTGCTCTGGTTCGCCAGAAGCGGCTTAGTCCTGCTGGCCACATGACCCGCAAGCTGTACGCCGGCTCCCTCGGCCAATAAAGTGAGATGAGCGCCGCAACCCCAGAGTCGGCCACAACTGGACCTAATGGTCAGGGGTCCCTTTACCTTTACACTCCCACAGAGACTACCTTATACTGCGTTTAAAACCAAAATCGAATTTGGATAAAAACCTTTTTACCTTTCACTTGCCACAAGGTTCTCACATCCTTTCCTGGGCCCTGACTCAGTTGGCACACCCAGTTTCTCAGTTTTTGCTGAGAAAGCTGCCAGAGTGGAAGGGGGGGGTTCGGCACCCAGTAATGCCCGAGAGATGCCTGATCTTTTGCACTTTTCAGGGAAATGTTGACAGTCACCGCTCCCCTAAACTGCTGCTAGGGCAGAGGCAAGGGAGAGGGGACTCGCCTCCATTGTCACGGCAACCAGCCCCCCTCCCCCCCCGCACACGATGATGCACCTTTGCATGTGGATGCCTGCACTACATTATTTTCATCAGATGCACATTGGGATGCGAGGGAGTCTGGGCCCAGTTGCCTCAGCAACACTACATCTCAGTGCAAAGCGAGGGAAAGTAGTAATTAAAGCTCCCCCCTCCCTTCTCAGCCAGTGGGTTAACAGGAAATGACTAATTAAGGGAAAGTTGAGCATCAGTTTACTATGAATGCCCTGGCTATGCTGAACAGGTAGTAATGAGAGGAAGGAGCCAAAATGAAGGAGCTTCTAATTAAAGGCACAGTAGCCCCCTTAAAAAGCTGAGACATCACCTTGCCAACAAAGGCAAGTTAAAGCTATGGTTTTCCCGGTAGTGATGTATGGAAGTGAGAGCTGGACCATAAAGAAGGCTGATCGCCGAAGAATGGATGCTTTTGAATTATGGTGCTGGAGGAGACTCTTGAGAGTCCCATGGACTGCAAGAAGATCAAACCTATCCATTCTTAAGGAAATCAGCCCTGAGTGCTCACTGGAAGGACAGATCCTGAAGCTGAGGCTCCAAGACTTTGGCCACCTCATGAGAAGAGAAGACTCCCTGGAAAAGACCCTGATGTTGGGAAAGATGGAGGGCACAAGGAGAAGAGGACGAGATGGTTGGATAGTGTTCTCGAAGCTACCAGCATGAGTTTGACTAAACTGTGGGAGGCAGTGGAAGACAGGAGGGCCTGGCGTGCTCTGGTCCAGGGGGTCAAGAAGAGTCGGACACAACTAAACGACTAAACAACAACCCCCCAAGAGCCAAAATATCACTCAGCTAGTCCACTGGACAGGCCAGCGCTGTGAAAGTATTTTTAGTGTGGGTGTAGTATGGAGTCGCCATTATTCAGGTATGAAAGAAGACAGAAGAATAAAAGGGAAAGCACTGGAGTGTAACAAACAACCTAGACTACAATAAATGGCTTAGTCTTTAAGGTGACGCAAGACACCTTCCTTCCTGTGACCCTAGCGTAACTGCGGTTTAAAACGGCTGCAATAATCTTCCCAAATGATTCTTTATTTTTTAAAATCTCTAATTAATTACCGTATTTTTCGTCCCATAGGATGCTCTGTCCCATAGGACGCACCTAGTTTTTTGGGGGGGAAATAAAGGAAAAATTTTTTTCCTTTATTTCCCTCCCAAAACCAGATCGGGGAAACCAAACCAGGTTGAGGAACAGCGGAATGGCGGCGCTGCGCCTCCCTGCTGTCCCCCAAGCTTGTGGGGCTGGCCGATGTCTGCCCGGCGTGCGGGGCGCTCTGCTTCAGGGCGCCGCTTGCGCTGGGCGGCAGGCTGCTATCTGCAGCCTAGGGCTGCCTAGGCTGCGGATGCGTTCCCGAAGCGCCGGGTGCTCTGCTTTCAGCACGCCCGGCGCTCCAGGAAGCAAGCTGCGGATGTCTTCCTGAAGCCTGGAGAGCAAGAGGGGTCGGTGCGCACCGACCCCTCTCGCTCTCCAAGCTTCAGCGAAAGCCTGCATTCACCCCATAGGACGCACCCAGATTTCCCCTTCATTTTTGGAGGGGAAAAAGTGCGTCCTATAGGGCGAAAAATACGGTAACAAGATTTTTCCACTAAGGCAGGTACAAATGGGTCACTTGATTCCAGGTTGCCCCCCCCCCGACTCAGGAGGTCCCCGCATTTGAGCACATTCCCCACACCTAAGTCCCTTCCTGGATCAGGAACAGGAAGAATAAATGGGATTTGCATTTTGAAGCAATGGGAGACGCATCTGAAGATGGAAGTGTGCCAAGAAATCATGGCACCAACGAAAGTGTGGATGAGCCCTAAGTCAGCTTCCTACATTCCTGGGGGAAAGGGAGAAAGGGCGTTGGCCTTCATCCATGCTCTGTGTCCTTGCCACGCTCAAGCCCCCATTTTGACCTTGGCTAGTTCAGTCAGTAGGGTATGAGACTCTTAATCTAAGGATTGTGGGTTTGAGCCCCAGGCTGGGCAGAAGATTCCTGCAGTTCAGGGATGTTATGTACTGAGTTGAATAGGATCCAAAATGCTGCAGTCTGATTGGTCCTAGAACAATAGGACCCAGAATGCAGCAGTCTGATTGGTCCACAGGAGCCACCCAATCCAGCCCCAGGTGGAAGTGAATCCGCAACCTGATTGGCCTACAGGAGAATCCTGGAATTAGCCGTGGCGCCCATTGTGTAAATAATGTATATAAAGCAGACATTCTGGGGAAACTTCCATTCCTCCTCACTACTATGAGCTGAATAAAGAGCATGATATCCACTCTCGACTCCCGAGTATATTTCAAGGGACAAGATGGCCCTCATGGTCCCTCCGAACTCTGCCATTCCAGGAAACAAGCCCTCAAGCTGCCATGGCTTCTCTTCTCACTTCTGGCCAAAAAGAGCCAGGATCCTAGGTGAAGAAGCATCATTAGAAGCCTGGTGGGCAAAGCAGAGAGGAAACAACATTCTTGGGGGGTCAAGCCTCTTGTTCTGAACTGCCTGGGTGACACAATGGACACCCCCACCCCGGGAGCTGTTTTTGGGGCCTTCCATTGATGTTGCCTCCGGCAGGTCTCCTCGGAGAACTCATCGGACACATGGCCCAACTTCCTACGGCACAGAAGGCGGGGAACAGGCGCTCCATCGAGCTTCCTGCAGCACGGTTGCCATAGCAACAGGTAGGGTCTCCGAGCCCAGGCTGCCTGCCATCCCCAGCATCTAGGGTGGGGAGGGGGACTTCTCCTACTGCACCCCCTACCCTGTATTCATGAACGTGGGAAACAGGAGTCTGGAGCTGCCCTCTGGCTGCAGCCTGGAGACATGAAGAGACGAAGGAGTCTTTCGGATAGCATGGAGCCAGCAAAAAAACACACGCAAGCACCTTCTGCCCTGCTGGGTGGCAGAGGCTTGCCTCACGAGATACGCTTTTCAAAATATGCATTTCCCCCACAAAATGCATACCCGTATTCTGAGGACATCCTTTGTTAAGCATCTGTAACCACAGAGCCTAGGACTTGCCAATCGGAAGGTCGGCGGTTCGAATCCCCGCAATGGGGTGAACTCCCGTTGCTTGGTCTCTGCTCCTGCCAACCTAGCAGTTCGAAAGCACCTCAAAGTGCAAGTAGATAAATAGGTACCGCTCCGACGGGAAGGTAAACAGCGTTTCCATGTGCTGCTCTGGTTCGCCAGAAGCGGCTTAGTCATGCTGGCCACATGACCTAGAAGCTGTACGCCGGCTCCCTCAGCCAATAAAGCGAGATGAGCGCCGCAACCCCAGAGTCGGCCACGACTGGACCTAATGGTCAGGGGTCCCTTTACCTTTTATCGCCAAATGGTGTCTTGCTACCACAACGCTGTGGGCTCGATCCTAGCCAGGTGGGAGAGATATATACCTGCACTCAGCTCCCTGGCTTGCAGCCGTCAGCACACAGGTACAGGATGTGTTGAATAAGCACCGCTGAACTGCCTGCCTGCCTGCCTGTGCAGGGGAGATCCTGGCTGGCTGACAACAGCCCTTGGCACGTGGAGAGGAGCACTGGGCCCCAATGAGCTGGGGGAGCCTGCATGGGGGTGCCTGGTTCAGGCCCCTAAAAATTTGTGCACCTGGGGCCACGGTCCCCCTGGCACCCTCATGCTACGCCCCTGCCCACATGTCCTTGGGTGAGTGACCTCTGAAAGGTGCGGCAATGAAGGTAGGAAGAGGCTGCAGCAAACACAGACAGAGGGATGTGAAACAGATCTGTTCTGTTGGTTTTGCAGACGGAAAACCTTCCTGCCCGCCCTCCTCTGTCACCAAGCAGCTTCCTGAACCCTTTCTGCCCTAGCTGCTCATTGTAAGAACTCCAGGCCCTGGTACCCGAGTTGGCTTTTTTCCTCTTCCCTACCCGTGCCTTTCTCCTTTTGTCTTTTTGGCAGAAGGCACGACCTGTCCTTTTTAAAAACTGGCCTTGAATCTGCCCCATGAGCCTTGTAAGAAATGGGTCAAATAAATCATGAATGAATAGGGGTGGGGGTGGGGAGATGGTTGGGTGGAAAATCAGGGCTCTCGTGTCCAAGTCTGTGGTTGAGGCACAGGGAGAGAGGCCCCTGGGGGAGGCATCTATGCCAAAATGCGTCTCGGCCCAATATTTCCTCCACCCATCCGGTGGAATGGAGTTATTCCACCTGCTCACTCCAGGCAACAGCAGGCAAATAGGACTCCCTCCTGAAGGACAGCGCTAGACCCTGAGCCCACACTCCCTGACTCTCTCGTGCGCACACCCAACAGCGCATCAAGTCCTCCGGACCACATAATGGCTTTGGAGACAAATGGGCAAATTACTCTCTCTGTCCCCTTGGCTTAGATGAAACCCAAAGATCCAGCGTCCAAGGCATTAATCCACCCAGGGGGCCGTGTGGGTAATAAATTAAATGCTTATTTCATATGCATCTTGTCATTACCCGGCTCCTCCTAACTGGGAGGGAGATTTACGAGTTTATTATTGGAACCGATAGATTAAATCTCTTCGAAGGAGTATAAATTATGCAGATGAGCTGGTGTTGCGATACGAAGGAAAACATCCAGCATGTGATGACAGTTCTGGGTGCATTTTAAAACTTCCCAGAGGCACACAAGGCTCTAGCTAGGTGCGCATTTATTGAAAGGGAACAGAGGGCATGGGATGGCTTACTCCAAACTGGTGCCCGTCAGGTGCTCTCTGGACTGTAATTCCCATCAGCCCCAGACAGACTCGTAGGCTGACCTTATAGGGCACCAGGTTGGGGGTACATGGTTATGCTGTCGCTAAACTCGCTAAAATAAGACCCAAGCCTTGGGGCTGCTACTAGTCAAAGCAGACAGCGTTGAACAAGATGGGGCAGCATTCGCACTCGGCATAACTGGCTAGATAAGATGCCGATTTCGCTGAATTTTGCGAATTATCCAATATGCCCTCAGAGCCAGTGTGGTGCAGTGTGGTTCCAATGTTGGCCTAGGACCTGGGAGAGCAGGGTTTGAATCCCCACTTGGCCATGAATAGAGTCAGTCACTGCCTCTCAGCCTAACCTACCTTGCAGGGTTATTCGGAGGACAAAGTGGGGAGGAGGAGAACTCTGTATGCCACCTTGAGCTCCTTGGACCTGACCTAGCCACTATGATCCACACGACGGTCACCTCCAGGCTTGATTATTGTAACTCACTCTACGTGGGGCTGCCCTTGAGACTGACCCAGAAACTCCAACAGGTGCAGAATGCTGCAGCGAGACTCCTTACGGGGTCTTCGCTGCGAGATCACATTCACCCGGTGCTATACCAGCTGCACTGGCTCCCGGTGGAGTACAGGATCAGGTTCAAGGTGCTGGTTTTAACCTTTAAAGCCCTTCATGGCCTAGGACCCTCGTACCTACAGGACCGCCTCTCCTGGTAGGTCCCACGGAGGACCTTATGGTCTTCAAACAAAAACATCTTGGAGGTCCCAGGCCACAGGGAGGTTAGGCTGGTCTCGACCAGAGCCAGGGCTTTTTTGGCGGTGGCCCCGATCTGGTGGAACGCTCTGTCCCAAGAGACTAGGGCCCTGTGGGACTTGACATCTTTCCACAGGGCCTGCAAGACAGAGCTGTTCTGCCTGGCCTTTGGCCAAGGCACAGTCTGACCCCCTCCTTTGGTAATCCTCACAGAACTCTAGCCCAATGGCTGCCATTAATTTGATTCTGAATTGATTTTAGAATGAATTGATTTTAGAATGTATTTCTATTAATTGATTGTGATTTTATGTAAACTGTGCTACTTTTACTGTTGTTAGCCGCTCGGAGCCCGGCTTCGGCTGGGGAGGGCGGGATATAAAAAAATTATTATTTTATTATTATTATTATTAGAGGCAAGGTGGGATATAAATGCAATACACGAATAAGCAAATAAAGAAACAGATGCTGTCAGCTTGTGACCCCACCCTGCAAACCACCCACTGCAAGAGGGTGTTCCCCTATTTGACAATCCTTTTTTTTTTCCAATTATTTTTTATTAAATTTTTAAACAAACAAAAAAAGAAAAACAACACACACAATACAAAACTTAACAATAAAAACACAAAACATAACAATTAAAAACAAACTCTCTTTTCCATTTCCAATTTTAAATTACTTATTTTCTGGACTTCCTCATACCTCCCTCTTTTGTATTCCAATCTACATTGTTTGTCCAGCAGTTTCTTTTCCACTTTTTTAATCCCAATCTTTAATTTAATAAAACGTTAAGATATATAACTTCAACTTTTTTAAGCCTAATCCTTGATCTTAATGTCATACAACTTTAAATTTTTCCCTTTTATTATCAAATTTCCATTTCTTTAAACATCTTTAATCTTGATCTTTAATCTTAATCTATCCTTATCTTTAACCTGTACAGCTGGAAACCACTTGTTTTCAGTCCAACATCACTCTAACATTCCTTAATTTTGCAGTGTTTCTGAAGAGCCTATTTGACAATCCTAAGGAAGGTCTGTTTGCATTGGCTTTGTCCTGCTGGCATGACAGAATCATGGAAACGTGACCAGGAGAGGAGGCCGCTGAGTGCTAGGAACTAGTGGGAGGTGCAACCCAAATGAGGTTCTCTTGCTAGTATCCAGAACCTTTGGGTTCTGCTGCTGGTGACGGCCGCATCTCAGGAGCACCTGCGACAGCCATTGCTGCTCTTGCATGCCCCCTGGGAGCTCCATGCATTCTGCCGGCTGCAGCGCCTGCCGCTGTGGGTTCTCACACAGCCAGAGGCATCTTCGCTTTCATCTTCCCTTCCTTCATCGCCACAATTAAAATTTAAGTAGCACACAGCTTCGTTGCTCTGCGGCATTCTTTGGACTCAATACACAAGAACAGCAGAAGAGCCCTACATTTGGATCAGGCCACAGCGGGGCCCCTCGAGTCCAGCATGCTCTTCCCACAGTGACCAACGAGATGCCCCACTGGGCGGCACCTGAGCGCAGCAGCACTCGGACCATGTGCAATGCCCAGAAG